TAGATAGATAGATAGATACTCTTTGCTTTTTCCTTAATTCCTTCAATAGCCAGTAATATTGTACTTTCTACTCCCCTACCTTTTACAGTTTTAGTTACTGATTGCTTTACAGATTCTGATAATGAAAAATGTAATCAATAAATAAATCCTAGTAGTCATTGTATAGATTAAGCTACCCAACAGTAGCTATATAAGTTAGCCACGTACACCAGCTGCAACATTAAAGTGATGTACACATTAATGCATCAATAATTATGATTCAATAATATAATGTTATTCTGAAATTGGGCCATTCTGCATAATGAGTAATTTTACTTTCAGTATGTTAATTATATTGTGGTTAAGGTGTAAAAGTTTTTATCTACAAGCCAGTGAAAACATACCTATGAATATTACTGTATATTCCATTTCTGACAATAGATCCTCTTAAATGTTACACACTGGACCCAAAAGAGTCTCAATTAGAAGCCTGGTCTGGATTTTATAGAAATTCTTTGGATGTATAAAACCTCTTAAAACCCACCAGATCACCCATTCTAAGCTGCTTAGATTAACTACACACACATAAATGTTTAAACTTTTGTCAATATGGACACATCGTTAGATCAGTTACGCTACATTAACACTGAGCCTCAATTCGGATCATATTATTCATAAAATTTGACCCATATCACATTCCAGTGTGAACTGGTCATGGTCCAGAGAAAGAGATCTGACTCAGTGTGGTTTATACTGTTCACACTGTCATTAAAAAGTATCAAATGATCCAACAAATGATTCATAATTGATGTTATGTGATATGAGGAATATCCATATAGGTTTAAATAAACTATGTGATAGTATTTCCCATCTTTGCTCAGCAACACTTACTAACAAAAGGAATTAAAGGCCTTTCTCATACAGAGGTCAGTGATTAAAGCAAATAAAAGTACAATTTTGAATGGGTGACTTTTACTTGTAACAGAGTATTTTCTACTTTTAGTTAAATAAAGAGTAAATTATTCCACCACAGCTGCCTCTCCATGCAAAAGTTGTCTCAGTTTTGCTATTTCCTACAGCCCTTGAAGGCAGCGTCAGTCTCACAGGGTGGGAGGGGGCGTTCACAGCACGCAGTAAAAACTCCGACACACGCCAGCTCAGTGTTACTGTCTAACACAGGGAAGGTTGCGTGCAGGTGCGGGGCAACAGGAGAGAGAGAACCGACAACCCGCAGAGACAACCGGGGGATACACCGCAGCCGCTCGGTTGATTGTGAGCCCGAGGACCGACTCCAGCCCGCCGGTGGGGATTATCACTGTCTCCAGCTGCATTGGATGACGCTTCCATCCTGGTGTCGGACTACGTTCAGCAGCGCTACCATGCCGTCTCTGCGACACTCCTACACGGTCACAGTACCGGAGGAACCGGCCGCGTTCATCCCCTCAGACAAACCCGAGCTGCGGCGAAAGAGTCCGTCGTTGTCCCGGTCCAAGCTGGTGTCCACATTCATGGGTCTGATCATCAACCAGGCCAAGGTGAGTCCACCGCCGCTGCACCTTCTGTCTCACCTTTTCCAAAAGTATCCGGATTACTCTCTCAGTGAAGTATTTTTACTTGAGTAAAAGTGGTAATACCACAGTGTGCAAATACTCCTGCGCTCAAAATCTCACTTAAAAGTACCAGTAAAAGTGTTTATTATGCACAATTTCAGAATGTGTATTGTAGTATTAGATTATAATTATTAATTAATTAAGGTAAAGTAAATTACTTTAATGTTGCAGCTGATAAAGTTCAGAGTTTAATCACTCTACTAGGTATCTTAATCTATAATAATACATCATCATTTATTAGTTTATTTGATGTTTTGTATTAATAATCTGAATCTGCAGAGTAATTAAAGCTATCAAATCCATACAGTGGAGTAAAAAAAGTACAATGTGTGCTTCCGAAATGTTGTCTGGAGTAGAATAAAGTAGTAATAAATGGACATAACCAAGTAAAGTACCTCAAAATAGTACTTAGTTACTTTCTACTGCTGGCACTCACAGACTTTAAAGTTCATGTACTTGCATGAATTAAACTGCAAAAGTATGAACAGTTAATACATTAATATTAAATAATATGATGAGAGATTTGGATGTTTTACTGTTTTAAGAAACTAGGAAACAACTTGTTTTCTTAAATTACTTTCAAATGTGGCTGCAAAATGATACTTCACTGGAATATATTTAAATGTTTGTGCATATTTGTTTCTTAATAAGCTGGAAAATTGAGGAAAAGAAATTTCTTTTTTCACTAAACCTTTGTAAAGTTTGGTTTTAGGCCTGCAGATCCCCCTTAAAGTAGATCCAAGAATGCAGATTATAACTGACTATAAGTATATCTACAGAAATATCACAGTAAAACTATAAACAGTTATTAATATCCAGTCAAAAATATCATGGTGACACTCAAATAAAGTTAGAATAAACACCAGTACAGTCACTTTAAGATCATTACTATCTGAAAACCAGTTAAATTTATGTAGAATATGTTCCGATCACAACAATTTTTAAATCACTTCTCAACACCTTCCTCTACTTTGACACCACGGGGAGCTTTGTGGAGGTCCAGCTCTGACCTTTTGGGCCCTTATCAGACTCTGTGTGGGGGTCCAGCACACCGCGGGCTGCCCGCATCAAAGCAACAATTACAGCGTGACGTTAGTTGCATAATAGGAAAGGGCGCCGCTGATAAGGAATGTGTTCAGACTGTCACCTTATCAACTGCAAAGAACATTGTGTTAACCCACAGAGCGCACGCACATCTGTGTCCGTGTGGGTTGGTGTGTTTACGGCCGCACACCTCAAGCGTGTGTCCTTGTTCGTACCATGGGGGTGTTATTAGTCTCTCATGCTTGTGTTTACACTGAACATACAGTCTCTCACTGCAACTTTTCTTAATGCAATTGAAGAGGTTTTGAGGTGTGCCATTTTATGCTAGTTGGTTAGCTTGTTGGTTCACCACTTTGTTCTGGACTGAAATATCTCCACAACAATTGGATGGATTGCTATGGAACTTGGTGTAAGCATTCATGGTGTTCAGAGGATTAATCTGAATGACTTTAGTGATCCTGTGACTTTTCATCTAGCGCCAGCATCAGGTCAAGATTTCAAATAATGATTGTTTTTATTGTTAATGAATCTACATTTCGTTTTGGTCTTAAAAACGTCAAAAACCCCGTCTGGTTCCACCAACAGTCCTACATCCAAAGATATTCAGTTTACCATCACATAAGATGAAGAAAAGCAACAACTTCTCACATTTGAGATGCTGGACCCTGCCATCTTTAGCATTTTGGCTTAAAAAAAAAAAAAACGATTAATAAACTACCAAAATTGTTGCAGCTCTATAAATTTGTGTCCATCAATTTGACCAAACACCTGCAAAACTAATGGCCTTCCCATCAGCCTCGGCTGCACTTTGTGTTTATTTTTAATTAACAAAATGTTAGCATACTAACAGATAACCATTACCTCCTAATTACATCAGTATCTGAAGAAGTATCTGAGCATGCTGACGATAGCATTCAGCTTTCACAGAGCTGCTAGCGAGGCTGCAGACTCATACATGAGAAACTGAGAACTGGCTTTTCTGACTGTATAAACACTGGCAGTGTTTTAAAGATTACCACCATACCTTTACTCACAGTGCACTTTAGGAAACTGCACCAAGTAAAGCAAATAACACTGACTCATTCAACTCATTTAAAGTAACCAATATTTCAACTTGACTCTGGTATTGTGGGACCTTTCCCAGCCCTGCTGTTCTCTAGCAGAGCTTTATGTTTATGCTGTTGGGAAGGGAGTGGCGGCGCTGGCACTGTGTGTGTGTGTGTA